TCCAAGCTTCAGCTCTATCGTGCTGTGCATACCGAGGTAAAGACTTACGGCCGGTTCGTTAGAATTATGCCAGGCCCAACCCAATGAATTTTTCTTAAGTAAAGACGCAGAAATAAAGGCCTATTGTGTATGTATATGATAGATATGCATATAACTGTCTATTTGCCCGGTTGATATGCATGTCTAGACTGATAAATATGCATTTATTTCTTTATTATGCATGTCAAGTATACGAATATTCTTTGGGTTGGGCCTCGCACAATTCTAACAAACCGGCAGTATGTTTCCCATAGGGTGTTGGAGGGGGGTAGGTAGAGCTTTCTATCAACCCTCACCTTGGGTAGTGCCCAAAACGCACATTCAGTGGCGGTAACTTAGATTTTTGGAATAAATTTTAACATGTGGGATTGGGGTCTTGTTCGCTGGCGAATGCATCCTTGAGTTATGTACTGTGCAGTTTTGATACTGGACTGTAATCATCATGAGGGAATTGGAAAAATAGGAAGAGATAACAAGATATTTAAATGCTATTATAATCTCACTATAATTACACCAGTTCATTACACTGTATAGAATGAGAATATATAATATCTGTTCATTTATAGTTTATCCGAACTTGTGATTTTCTTTTATGCCTAATGTTATTTTGGGGATACATCTAGTGCTTTGATTGATCTCTTTCGTGTTGCAAATGTATAGTTTTCAAGTTATGCCTCTTTTTTAACTATGCCTACCTGCTCATTCCTAATGATCTTGTGGGGACCTGTTTTTTTTTTTGGGGGGGGGCATGAAAGTGAATAATATGCATTGCTAATGGTTCTTCTGATTTCTGTCTGTATGCACTACATTTCACCAAACCTTAGTAATTACTCAGCATTTTTTTCTTATTTTATGTACCTAAAGAAAGCTTGTTTTGGTGTTCCACTTGAGAAATAGGTATAACTATAGATTTCTAAAATGAAGTTGCAAACTTTATATTGATGTCTTTTTTCTGTCATTCTTCCATTGAAATAATTGAAATTGTACAAGATGTTTTTTCAATCTTTGTCTTTTGTGTTGTGATTCTATTAGTTTTGAATGTTTGTGATGAGAGTATTAGAATATTTTTTGCTTATGATCTAGTTTGTTTTTTACAAAGTAAGAGTTTGGAATTCATTACTAGTTCATTAGCAACTTCCACAAGCATTTTAGTGAGCTATAAGTTCTTTAGATCATAATGCTCTTTAATAGATGGACATTAGCTCTGATAGTCTGGTTATCTCATTTTGTACAGTATTGCATAAGACTGAAAGTAATATTTATTTTATGCTCTTAGATAGGTATAATACGTGGTGTAAGAGAGAACAAGTAATGCAAAAACTCCAGCCAGGCAAGGTCTCTAGGGCTATGAAGCAAAAACAAGTAAAGCATAAAAAGAGAGAGAAAAACAGAACATCCTTGATTTTTTTCCTCTCTCCTAGTAAAGGTCATGAGTTTTTTCTTCTATTTTTTTCTTGGCTCCCCTTTAGTGAAGCCTAATGATTATTTTCATATACAGTGAACCTTCGTTTTTCGCGGGGGTTACGTTCTAAAAAGAACCCGTCATAGGCGAAATCTGTGAAGTAGTAACCTTTATTTTTTTTACAATCATTATACAATTAAATACTCTGCAATACATTGAAACCAAAGAACAAAACCTTTTTACAGGCCCAAGCATTTGTTTAACAAATAAAAGTACTGTATAAACATTTTTTACAAATAACTACTGTACTGTAAAATAATAATTTTAATCGTCAATACGAACTGAAGACTCCATGGGTTTTAGAGAAAATTTGCAAACTTAAATTTGGCAAGCTGTTTTACATACATGTACATATTAAACCTTAACGTTATTGACACACAGGTAGAGAAGAAGCGGAGAGACTGTTTAGTCAATCAGAATGCAGAACACAATGCACAATGCAAATCTGTGAAGCAGTGAGAACGCGAAAGGTGAACCGCGTTATAGCGAGGGTTCACTGTATATTTCACTCTTGCATTTCTTGTAATTTTATTTGTTCAATCTTTAACAATTTAACATTAATAAATTATGGTTCCCTTGCAGTTGTAACTGGAGCAACTGATGGCATTGGTAAAGCTTATGCATTTGAGGTGAGAACATTACTGACTGATATTTTGAAATGAGAAGATTTGTAGATACAAATGTTTATCTGATTTTACATTATAGTCAAACTATTGATCTTTTTACTTAAGAAATGATGATGGCATTTCAGCTGGCAAGGCAAGGAATGAAAGTTGTGTTAGTCAGCAGGACAGCTTTCAAACTACAGAATGTTGCTGCAGAAATTAGTAAGTATTGTGAGAATGTATTCATAAATGGATCCTAGTAAGCATTAATGTTATAGTAATCCGGTAAAGCATGGTCAATGATAAAAGATGTGTTAGTATTTGTATGTGTATAAATTTGCCCCTTTTTTCTAAAGTCTCTTAACTTTCTGTGTATCTCTCTCTTTGGTTATTA